AAGCTAAATGAAAACAAAAGAAATAAAAGCATCAACATATACATTTTACAGCAATATCTTAAGGCCATGCAAATGGCCTGCTTGGCAGGGGGTTGGACTCGATGGCCCTTGTGGTCTCTTCCAACTCTATGATTCTATGATTCTAATAAGGGCCTATGACACTAAACATTATCTACAGTATTGATTAATGCAGTAGCAGAAACCCCTCACAGTTTGAATTGCTATCAATGAGCTATTGCAATTCTCCCCAAATGCTGGACCAGGTGGCCCTTTGGTCTGATCCTACAGTGCTCGCCTTACATTCTTGCATGCTTACTTCATTAGATGCACCAGCAGACATACTACTAATCTACCCTCCTATTTGCTTCCTGTGAATCTTGCTCAATTCCTGCTTTGGACAGAGATAAGTAGATGCAAGCTTGTGTATGAAAAGCAAGGGTTTTACTCCAGTCAAAAGAGAATCTACCTGGTGTGGTTTGGCATGCAATTATAAAGCTACTCAAAACCATGTTTTCCCAGGGAATAATCTAAAAGGCCATTTAAAAAGGCAAAATGAAGTGTAACAGCCATTCATATATGATTACCTTAGAGGCTGCAGCTGAAAAGCGAGGGACTCTGTTGCATATAATAAAAATGTAATCACAAATTGTCAGTTCTGGAGCCCCTATTATGGGTACCAACTCATCCTGGAAATAGTTCCGCAGGGAATCCTTTTGGTACAGTTATGTGGTCACAAAACGATTAGGCACAGGTCATTGTTGGAGCTCCAGTGTTTGCACAGATTACCACAAGAACCATTAAGGCATGAAAAGAGTTGCACTTGTATTCATTGATATGCTTCATGGTCTGCTTTGGTGCAAGTTAAAAATCATTTAAAATGTAATTGAGTTTACAGTGAAGAAAAATAATAAAGATGCCTTCTAGAGAGTATCAGTATATTGACTAAATGTTGCGTGAAGAAGAGCTTGAATACATAGTAAAAAAGAGGGGTGTGTGGAATTTCTTCTGGCAGTGGGAGAGATTTGGGGGAATAAATGGTGAAAGTTCTGTGCTATCTCACTTATTTTTTTAAGGCTCATCCATGGAGACTTGACATTCTAAAATGCATCTTTAAAATTCCAATTTAATAATGGAGATTGAAATGACAGTTTTACAGCTTATTGCAATAAAGTAAAAGCCTCCTTGCCTGGTCAGACAGGTTGGTTTCGGCAAAGCATTTTAATGCACAAACCAATTAAAACAGCTGTCTTTGATTAGATTTCATGGGTCCCAGACCCATAGAGCTTCATTGCCACATCATCCTTATTCCAGCTAGAAGGGCGGATTTTTCAATTATCTAAATTCAGAAACAGACTGGGACAATGTGCAAAAATGTGAATGCAAATCAGCCAAATGATTTGTGACATCCACTTGAGGTGACAATGTGGACTGCCTGTCATGTAGAACACTGAATGCCATAATGGGGAAGCAAGCACCTTGAGGCAGAACTAAATCTCATACCAGCACACAATCGCTTCATCCGCACATGTCACTAACACACTGCATTAAACACAAATGCAGGGACTGGGAGGGGAGATTACAGGGCAAAATCAGCGGCAAGTGAGGGAAGCAGACAGAATCCCAGTCAAGCAGAGACCATACAGGACGTTGAACAGTTCTAAGGGCCCCTGCCAAGGCAGATGCAAGACATATTGTCTCTCTGGGGAACTGAAACTAACCAAAGCTTTATGTAAACTGGCCAGAACAGGAGAGTGGTTAGGTTCTCCTTTCCCAGAAGAAGTGGCTGGCTGGCTGAAGGACCATCACCTAATGGGAGATGTGCACTAGAGTAGAGATCTCCCACTGTCAATGGCCACTCTCAAAAACTCACATAAAATTAAATAAAATTTGCAAGCAAAAACTGAGCCTTTTTATTTTATTTTGGGGGTTGCAGGTACTCTACCGACACTGTTTATGCCTGGACCTTCACTGGAGCAACAAATGAATTCAAGCTCCAGTCCTATAGACACTTTCACTAGAATGTACTGATCAGATTTCTGGGATTTCACAACTGGATCCATATTTAACAACAGAGTTCATGAATGTTTATGCTAGCACCCAGGCAGGTATGCTTTTTTATTCAACAATGATAACACAAATCTATTGCAAAATCCCTGCACCCTTCAGCACAACTTGCATTTTTATCTCAAGCCATGCCCTGAAATTGGGGCTTGGAAATATGAAGATATAAGTGTGTGACCCAGACCCAGGCAGACCTCCTCTGGGGAAGAGTCATGGGGCCCCACAGAGAACCCCCAGTACAAGTGAGGACTTGGGAGAAGCCCCAGGGCAGCCTGAAGCAGCTGAGCTCAGAGATATCTCACTTGAGTTCTGCCACCAATCTTCCACAGCCCAATCCCTGCCTCTATCCCCAGTTCTCTCTCTTCATTTCCCCCAAGCCTCAAGGGCACAGGTAGCAGCATGCCTAGTGGTGAGCCCAGAACTGGGTACAAGGAGGAATGCAGCAGATAATGAGGAAGAAAATGAGACTAAAGTACAGATATAAGCCTCTCGGTCTTCTCCAGACTCTTTCTGGGTTAACAGCTCCCTACTGAACTTTTTAGCATTCAGCTCATTTACCCAGCTCCATCTCACTCACTAGGTGCTGGTCATGAACAAATGGCTGGAAAAGTCTCCTAAGAAGGAATCCTAAACTCTGAGGGAGGAAAGACGAGGTGTCATAGGAAACTGTGGCACTGCCTCGCTGGTTGCATCAGAAGGTCTATGGTCGGGAAAGAAGGTTCAGTACCTGAGGCCTCCTTGTTGTGTAGCAGTTGCAAACTTTACTGATGGTGTTCTGATGGTGGTAGGAGAGGGGTAAAAGGTGGGTCATAGGTGAATCGGGGAAGCCTTAGATCCACAGGATCCTCTTGCCCTCTCCACAGCATTCACCAAAACAGCAGCTAACTAAGCCAGCCTTGGAGCTGGCAAAAGTCATCTCACTCGACCCTCTGAAGTCATTAAGAGAGAAATTGATGGGAGGGAACTTCAGCTGGAAAGAAAAAGTGCACACACACCTTACACCCAGGCTGGTGCAAGACTAGGAAGTGGCAGTTCCTCCACCATAGATGCCCCCATCCCATCCTTCATGGGATTCACTGCTATTGGAGGCATAAGGCTCCTCATGTAATGGCCAAAAGGAAAGAAGCTACTCCATTTGCGCATAGCTGACCTGAATATTTTAATTTAGCTGAACACTTTACAGTTTGAAAATCCATCTGCAATCCCTAATTATACATCTGTTGGGAGTCATAAGTGGTGCTCATAAGCAATCACTTTGGATTAGTGGAAAACAAGGATGGGGAAGCTTCCCAAATGCAGAACTAAACTATCCTGCAAAGCAACACCCAGAAGACAAGCAGATGTGTTCAAGCATAAAACAGACCTCTTTAAGGATGGTGCAGAGTCACATTTTGATACATTGAATGAGCATCCATTACTTCGACCTATCTGTTTCAGGCATGCCAGTTTATTAGGCCAATACTGAGACTGCGATAAGACTAACAATCATGGCATTATGTAGATGTTGCAATATAAGACCATGGAATCAAGTTACCAGCAATGCAACTAATTCACAATGCACAGTCCAAGTCAGAATTCGAAACTCTACATGAGGTGAATGACAAACAATTAAAGACATCTTCACATACTACACTTTCTAGTTGTGCAATTACAACATTTTAAGGGTATGCAACAGTGGAAATGGGAGAGGAAACTGCCCTCAAAACAAGCTCCAGAGGATCATGATGATGATGATGATGATGATGATATAGCCCAATGGCTTCTAAGTGATTTACAACTATAACATCAATCCCTAATTAACACAATAACATTAAAACATTCTAATATACAATAAAACAATTAAGAAGCATAACAATGAAAACAGTTTTTCAAAAGAGTTAAAGCAATAAAAACACAAGTTCCGTCCAGGAGAATGCTTGGCTAAACAGATGTGTCTTCAAGAGCTGGGGGGATGCCATCACCGAGGGGCCTCTTGTATTTCAGCAAGGAGGGCATTTCAATACATGGGTGCACCAGTGAGCCAATAACCACCAGCCCAACCAGAAGCAATTCTGCAAGGGGAAACTTGTGCCAGTACCTTTCCAGCCAGAGGACATCACATTGCCCTTCTCTGACTCTGAAACCTCTAGCTCGGAATACTTAGAGAATAAGTCCTCCCAGCTCCGTCAGAGAAACAGAGGCTGGACTCCTCCAAGTTAGAAGTCCATGGAGGGCAGTGCTAGCAAATGAGATAGCGCTGCAACTCCTATTTAATGCTCAGTTGGTGGGTGACTGCCACTGAAGCAACATCAGAGCTCTGCTTTGATGGAGTCGCCGGGCTCAGCCCTGCATGAAGCTGTCCAAGGTATCATTCATGCCTCATTTATGTTGCTGAGGCTATCTCCCGGTATGCCCCACGGAGGACCTTAAGGTCCATAAGTAGCAACACCCTAGAGGTCCCGGGCCCTAAGGAAGTTAAATTAGCCTCAACCAGAGCCAGGGCTTTTTCAACACTGGCTCCAGCCTGCTGGAATGCTCTGTCTCATGAGACCAGGGCCCTGCGGGATCTGATTTCTTTCCACAGGGCCTGTAAGACAGAGTTGTTCTGCCTCGCCTTTGGCTTGGAGTCAATTTGATTCCCTCCCCCTTTTTCTTTTTTCCTTTCTCCTCCTGTGATGAGGCTGCATCTTAATGTTTTAATGTTGTATTTTAATCTTGTTTTTAAGTTGTATTCATTCAACTTGTTTTTATTATTGGTTGTTAGCCGCCCTGAGCCCGGCCTTGGCTGGGGAGGGCGGGGTATAAATAAAAATTATTATTATTATTATTATTATTATTTAAAAGAGAACACTGTGGGAGTTTTAAAAGGTTTACATAACTCTATTGAAGGTAGAACTATAAATAATTGTTAGCCATGGTAGTTAAATGAAGCCTCTATACTCAGTGGCCACAAGATGCTGGGAAGGGATTTGTTCAGTGGTTGAGCATTTGCTTTCCACGCCAAATGCTCCAGGCTCAATCCCCTGCTTCTCCAGGCAGGGCTTAGGAAGACCCCTCTCTGAAACCTTTGAGAGAGAGAAAAGCCATAGCCCAGTGGCAGAGCATCTGCTTTGAATGCAGAAGGACCCAGGTTCAATCCCAGGGATCTCCAGGTATGACCCTTGGGTTCCATTGTAACTTTACAAGTCTTGATTCTATAATTCTACGATTCTATGACGTAGAAAGGCTTCCTGTCTGAAATCCTGGAGACCTGCTGCCAGTCAGTATAGACAATACAGAGCTGGATAAACCAACAACCCAACTCGATGGATGTACCTAAGCACTTCCAGCCAGTGAAGGCAATACTGAGATATATGGCAATGATCTGGCCCAATATAAGGCAGCATTATGTGTCCCTCTGTTCCCTGCTCCCAACTGGCTTCTGTGGGAAGCCGACGGCTGGGCTAGAAAGGCCTTCTATTTTATTTAGCAGGGCTTTTTCTTATGTTTCTATTACACCATTATAAAAAAAGATTGGTAAAGGGGCTTGTGAAGTAGGCACAATTAGGTTTCAGAATTGTTACAAGTCGCAGCTCTACTCCATTCTGCCTCTGTTAAGGGACTGCCAAAGACTATTCCACTATGTAATTTGAGTGATGGGGTGTGCAAGTATCTGGGAAAATAACAGGATCGCGGTAATGAAATGGCAGCAATTCTGCTGCTCTCCCCAAAGCAGCAATTTTTCCATTGCATGGCTAGGGACTGGCTTCCCCTCATTTTTTTTTAATTAAAATGCTCCAGCTTGAATATAATTGAAAGTGTGAGCCTTTGGGAGGCCTTTTATCTATAAAGCTGGATGTTAACAATGTAGAAAATTAAGAGAAAACTCCTGTCGTGAAACCATAAGGCTTTGACAAAGCCTAACCTTTTTACATCAAATGTGCTGCAAACAAAAAATGGAGGATTTGTACATGAACTTTCTCAGACAAGCAGGGACACTTCCCAGGCTTATTCAGTCCTCAGCCAGACAATGCAACACACACACACACACACACACACACACACACACACACAATCTTTCCTTTGTGGGGATGCCACATCTACCCCAGAAGATGGTGCCCATTTATTTCTCTTAGGGCCTAGCTACATGGTAAATGAGTGGCATGATTTGCAATCATGTCACAGGGTTGTTTATGTATTTATTATTTAAAAATCAAAATGCCAGGCGGGTGGGAGAGGTTGTCATCAGCACAACAACACACAAGGAGGGGAGGTTTATGGCACCCCTCCTGTGATCGCAGGTTGCTGTTGTTTTTAAAAAAAGGCAAAGCACTCACACGGCAAGAAGTTTTGTCCTAATGATAATTGCTGCACTGAGATTGTGGTTGGAAAGGGAATGCTTTTTTATTTTTTATTTTTAAAATCCCACCTCCCTCTATATTGCAGTGCCAATAAAACACACACACCAACTGTTCCTGATATTGGGTGTTTAGAAACAAAAATCACGTGCCTGCAATTCACACAGCTAATGTAATGCATTGTTAGGCCATAAGAGACAAGAGTATTCAGCAGTTATCCCCTTCTCTACCAGATGCAAAAAGCAGGGGTCTAGTTTTGTCTTGCAACAGGTGGGTGGGGAAAGCGTGAGTGTGTAGCGGCAACTTGCTGTCTTGGTGCCAGAGTTGTTGTTGTTTTTAAACAAAGATGCACACCATCTCCAGTTACTAATCCTGTTCCTCAGCCAAAGCCAAAATATTCTCAAACTGGGTAATCGCACAAGGTGAGGTCTCGTCCAATGAAGTCCAACAAGGCCCTTCTTATGAGTCTTCCTTCCTAACAGATCAACTGGCAAAATATATCCTATTATGACAGGCAGGGTGCATGCAGAGAGAGAACTTTACAGCACCCCCTGCTCCTGGCAATATATCTGTCAGTAGGAAAAATTTGGGAGATTCTCTCCCCCAGGAAACATATATGGCCCTGTTATCATTGGGGTTTTGCTTATTTGTTTGTTTTTAAAAAGGGGTAGAATCACAGAACTGTAGAGTTGGAAGGGATATCAAGAGTCATCGGATCATTTTGTCATCGGATCATTAAATGACCCAGAGGGTCATTTAGTGGTAAAGTAAATAGCATCACTTCAGACTGCAAGTGGAAGATTGCATTTTTTAACACTCTCTTCAACATAAAAAAAAGAAATTTCCCTGCAATTAGAAAGCTTACACAGTAGATTGAGCTAGAACACCTGCATCTCTGATGAGTAAATTATCGGGATTTTTTAACATGGCAGCACATTTACAAATGGTACCTCCTTTCTGCAGACTGAAATGTAACATTCTTTCCTACTACAGTGGTACCTCAGGTTACATATGCTTCAGGTTACATACGCTTCAGATTACAGACTCTGCTAACCCAGAAATAGTGCTTCAGGTTAAGAACTTTGCTTCAGGATGAGAACAGAAATCGTGCTCCGGCGGCGCAGCGGCAGCAGGAGGCCCCATTAGCTAAAGTGGTCCTTCAGGTTAAGAACAGTTTCAGGTTAAGTACGGACCTCCGGAACGAATTAAGTACTTAACCTGAGGTACCACTGTACTTCAAGATCCCACCATATTCTTCTGGGAAAATGAACAAATGTTAGAGAGGGGTTTGGCAGCCACTTGCCAGTTCAGATGCATCAGCTCAGAACGCAGATAAAACTACATATAAATTTGCCTACCATGATTGTGTCTACATCAATCCTGGAAGGAGGCAGAAATTAAGTGTTAATTAAAAAAATAAAATAAAATCTCACTGAGCTCCTTACAGGCCACCTACAGCTTTCTCAATAGTAAATAATTAGATCCAACAGATTTTATGGTATTAGTCTAATGAGCTGTAATCCTATCAAAAGCATACAAACTCTAATAAATTGGCTCTTTGATTCTGAAGTCATGAAAGGTTAGCTTTGAAAAGTGTTCAAGGGTGCCACCCTTCACTCAGGTCCTCTGCCTGAGAGTAGGAGGCTAGCTTAGGAGGCACAGAACAACCTCTGTGGTTTACAAAACTCTTATCATCCAATGCCTCTCTGCCAGGCACTTGCCCCTCTGCCCGGAACCTGCTCTCTGCTGACTCAAACAAATGCTTAGGCAAAGTAGTGAATGCCAGTTGCTGGAAACCACAGGAGGAAAGAGTGCTCTTGCACTCAGATCCTGCTTGTGGGTTTCCCACTGGCCACTCTGATTGGCCACTATGAGAACAGAATGCTGGACTGGAAGGCCCCATTGGCCTGATTCAGCAGGATATCCTTATATTCTTATATTCAGTGGTGGGCACAAATGTGTGCCATGTGAACAGAACAGTGTGAGCATGCAAACAATGTCTGCTGGGACACAAGGCCTGGGCTTGCTTGCTTGCTTGTTCAGGGGCCTTTTCCAACCAGTACATTGGAAGAGAGGCCAGTAGAAAGCAAACACTGTCTTAAGAGGATGGGAATGGCTGGGGAGCCCTACTGCAGTCCACTCCATCGTATCCATGACTGGAAGTGGTCGCCTCACTCTGCCAGTGTGGTGTAGTGGTTAAGAGCGGTAGTCTCGTAATCTGGGGAACCGGGTTCGCGTCTCCGCTCCTCCACATGCAGCTGCTGGGTGACCTTGGGCCAGTCACACTTCTCTGAAGTCTCTCAGCCCCACTCACCTCACAGAGTGTTTGTTGTGGGGGAGGAAGGGAAAGGAGAATGTAAGCCGCTTTGAGACTCCTTAAAGGGAGTGAAAGGCAGGATATCAAATCCAAACTCTTCTTCTTCTTCAATGGAAGGGGCCTTCCAGCTTAGACCCTTCCTGCCTCCCAAGCCATCACTAAAAGTTTTCCTCCTATTGTGTCCCCCCCACACCCAATTGTTGGTCATTGTGCTAATTACTATTGACATTATTGCTTCCTCTTCTCCAAATCAGTTCCTGCCAGGCCACTGCTAGTACAGTGGTACCTCGGTTCTCAAACGTAATCCGTTCCAGAAGACCGTTTGAGTTCCAAAACGCTGAAAACCGAGGCACAAAGGGCTGCCTGCAAATTCAACTGAGGAAATTGAAAAACGCACAGCGGAAGCCGTTCGACTTCCGAGGCGCATTCGAAAACAGAAGCATTTACTTCTGAGTTTTCGGCATTCGGGTTACGAAATGTTCGTCAACGGAGATGTTCGAGAACCGAGGTACCACTATACCAGATTTTGGAGGCCCCTGACTTGACTGCCTCACTGCATAGGGAAGTTATAATTATGTGATTATGCCGCATCCATATATGTCCAGCCCACCCAGTTTTGAAGGCTATATTACTTTGCTCCTTTCCCAGGGTTCCATGAAGCTGTTCCACTCCTTCTTTCAACATGTTCACTTAGCCATCTTAATGCCAGCATCTTCCTCTGCCTTGGTGTTTGTCATGAATGTTTGGTTCAAGTCATGCTCCCTCCTTTGACTCTAGTGCACCTTGGTCAGGATGACCTACCCATGTGGAGCGAACATCTATTGTCATTCCAAAATTGCCACACTTCAAAATAAGGAAATCTCATGACCGCATCGGAACGCTTTCCAGAAGCCAGATATCCCGCCCCCACCTCTCAATAAATCTTATTTCTAAAATATATATTAACATTTAGTGGCAACATTTTATAATACTGGATGCACACATTTAGTTATTTCCACCCACACAGCCCTTAAAAAGGATTTTTATTCCATTTGTTTTCACTGAACAGGGTTCAGCAAATGTCATGAACAGAGAAAGAGATAAAGAAATTATTTGTAGCTGTGGACTGAGATCAGGACATTCCATCCTCCAGTTCATCTGAAACTGGCTCACAACAGAACATGTAATTATGGCATGAGGAGGAATGGAATTACTACAGCAAAATAATTAACTGTTTTTGGTCTCCACAACAACCATCTCTTGGAGGAAGGCTAGTTCAAAGGAACAGCTCCTCAAGGTCTGGGGAGCCTCTTTCTGTACTTATCTCTGACGCAAGAGTCGACTCTGTACTTCTCTGTTTCATCTTGCCGTTGAATATTCTAGTTTCTACTCCTATTTTAGACCCTATCACTAAAACAGCATTCCCCAAACTGGTGCCTTCCAGATGTTGTACTACAGTTCCCTTCATTCTGAATGACTGACCTCAGCTAGGGCTGAGGGAAGTTAATTTTTATTTTT